GAAGAGGGTCCGCGCGTGGCGTGGCGGGGGGTGTGGGGTGCTGCCGGCCGGCCCCCGGTCTGAGCCCGGTTCCCCACCCCCGCCGCGGCGCTGCCGGCTGGTGTCGCTTCCCCTCTCGGCCGGGGTGTCCCGCGGCGGCTGCCGGCTCCGAAGTTTCCTGTGCCCCGCGTGGGGCGGCCCCTGTCGTCGTGTGTGTGTGTCGTGGGTGTCGTCGTCCCCCCGCCATCCCTCCGCGCCCTGGAGGGGTCCCGGGCAGGGCCCTCGGCTCCCTCCGCGGGCTGCCTCCGCTGCCCGGCGGCCCCCGCCCGCCCCTCTCTCTCCCTGAAGGAACTGTTGCGTGAGGGAGATCCAGCGGGGAAGTTGGGCGGCGGCGCGGATCGCGGCGGCTCAAAATAGACCGGGAGCCGTGGCTTATGCCCGGGGCTGAGCGGGCTCCGGATTTACCGGCCCTGAGCCTCTAAAGATTGCTAACAAAACACGTAAATGCCGGGATAATAGCGTGATTGTTCTCCGGGCTTTTCGGCGTTTCCTGGGTTTTGAAAGCTGAATGCTGGGCAGAGCCGCTTGAACGTGTTCGGTGCCGGCTTATTTAGCGCGTCTTTGTGTTCACAACTGCTCTGCGGCGGCCGGGGTGGGGGTGTGGGTGTCTCTAAATACGCCCCAGCTCCTTGCTGCTCGCCCTTTCACACGCTCAGCTCGTTATTTTCACTTTCCAAGCGCCGTACGTGAAAAACAGCGTTAGTTTCAGTTTACGAGGCTTCAGGGCGATTTCTTTAGTGTAAAAGAACTATTGATATTCTTTGTAATGGCGCAGGTTGCGTGCATTCCGCATCTCCCCGTGCCCAAAAATATTTTAAAAAAATATTTTTTCACGTGTTTTTTGGAGGTGTGACGGTCTATCGCATATATCATGATGACACTCGGATCTGGGGACGGGGGTGGGGGTGGTGGCTCTCCAGGGAAGATGGCTTATTGGTCGCAAACACGCTCTTTTGTGCTTGTGGGGCAAAATAATTCCTGCTTTTGAGTCGAAACGTTGAGTGCTTGAGATGGAACTTATTTACAGCATTGTAAAAAGTCTGTCTTTGTACCTCCTAGGCATTTCTGAGTGTGGTTGGTATTGGTTTTCATTTGGTTTCCTGGTGGAATTTAAGGTGGCGTATCACATTACCAAGTCTAACTCGGTAGTTTTCTGTCTGTCGCCCCTGAGCACTCAGTAATCCACAAAAGGTAACTGGGAAAAGCAAGGCCATTGCTGGTAGGTTTTCATCTATTATAGAGAGGGTGTATGTGTGTAGAGCACCTATGTGCACTTAAGTCCTTTGGAAAGAATTTTTGAGGTCCTAAAATTGGAAAAGGTTGAGAAGTAATAGTCTAACTGCTTTTGACTTTTGTTATGCCTTGACAGCTGTGCTTGGCCAAGTCTTAGCTGAGGATTGTCCTAATTTTTAGTGGTCAAACATGGGTATCCTTCCGGCTGGATGCTTAAGGAATTTTTATTTTATTTTTCCTGCTCCAGTAGGAGTAGAAAAGCTCAATGTTAAAATTAGAACTGTAGTGTGTAGATTTTGAAGAAGCACCATAAGACCTTTTTTTTTTTTTTTTTTTTGGATCAGTAGAAATCCTCCTCCCAGATTTATTAAGATCTCTTTCCTGGACACTGCTCCAATAAAACATGCATAACTTCAGTTAAAAACAAAATCCCTCTGGTGACGAGGTTAAGGTCTCATATTTACTGTTTTTCATTTAACCTAAACACATTCAGTAGCTTTATAGCCTTGAGAAAATAGGACCTGAGAGAGGCTTCCTGCTGAATTGATGTCAAGATCTGCATTGGTGGTGGTAAGAGTTGCTCAGTCCTTGCTGACTTCTGCTTTTAACGAAAGGGGCTTGTGTTGAAAATGGCATTCATGGCCTTAATAGACCCACTAATTTTGCTGCTAGTCAGGTACGATTGCTTGTGTGGAGATTTACCAGATGACAGGCCTGTTGGTGTGCCCTTTTGTGTGCAGTTTAGTGGATGTATGGGTCTTCCCTCTTTCAGGCTTCAGCAGTTCTATGTAGGAGCTTTGTTGTTTGGATACAGATTAAGTCCACAGTGGTCAGATAGGTAACATTGATTGTTGATCATTGCTGATCTAGTCCGAATGGGAAGTAAGGTTTCTTCCTATTTATACTGTTTTTATACTGTTTCAACAGTCTGATAGAACAAATGCAAGTCAAGCATTTAATTTTGACTTTGAAATAGTATTGGGAGACTTGAGGCATTGTCCATGTGCATTTTTTGCTTGTTTGTTTGGGGTTTTTGTTTGGGTAGGTTTTTTTGGTAAATTTGCCAAAACAATTATGGATACCAGTGCAAAATAAAGTAGGTTATATGTCTCTTCATTGTCTGCTGCTCTTTTTCAACCAGGAAATCAAAGGAGAACCTTCATAGCAAGTCTGTAACTAACAATGCAGTTCACGGTGTGTTGGAAGGAATATGTGTATATATGAATGATACTTGCATAGTGGAACCATTCATTTGGAGGGTGTTGTTATGCTACAATGTAGAATATGGGGAATATTGAAAGGGACTACGTATTGAAGGAAGATATCTGAGAATTAAGTGCTGTTTCCTATTTACTCTGTTTCAGTTTCATGTGAACTGGCAATCAAGTGGCACTCTATTTATAGCCGCTTTCAGCTTTCGAAAACAGCTGCTCCAGGAAGGATCTGTGCATCATACTGTACCTTTCCATGCAGATAGTTCACTCCTGGAATTTATGTCCTTGCAAAAAACCTCTGATTTTGCAAGATCTCTAAATAATTGCTCTGAAACCTAGTCAGCTCTGGACAGAGTTCTAGAGGAA